GTCAGCTGAGCTGAGCAAGTGAGTTAAACTGAGCAAATCAGTTGAACCGAGAAAGTCAGCTGAGCTGAGCAAGTCAGTTGAATCCACCAAGTAAGCTGAATTATAGTTTCACATGGCAGTATAAATGGGGTACACTACAGTTAGCCAGCCAAATGGCAGGACGCGTGCGTGGAGCAGTTTCGGTGCTCCCAACTTCTAACGAAGGACGTTGTGACCCAGCATACAAGAGTCGGATAGTAACAAATTACTCCCTATTCGGAGTGGCTCTCTCAAGAGCTCCGTATAGTAGAGGATCTTCCGCCAGCAGTGTCGTGAGCAAGCAATTATTAAAAATGTTTTCTTTTCATTCTATTTCTAATTTCTTTTTTTCTTTTCTTTCCTTCTTTTTTTCTCTGATGCTTTCTTCTGTTTTTTTAACTTTCATTATTTTTTTTCTCTGAATGGGAAGGGTGAGATGACTTTCGTGACCAACAAGGGAAGGGAAAACAAGAGATAATTTTGGACCGACCTAACACGCCTCCTCCTATCCCCAGCGTACAATTTATGACGCAAGAATTGGTTTGGCCGCAGGTTGCTAAGCTTGGTTTCACACCTCTCTCCCGATAAAAAGATGACTCCTCAACGACTCGGCTGTCACATTCGTGATGAAGAGACGCAGTGATTGTTTTAGCAAGCGGCGTATAGCCCCGAGTGAAGTGTGACCTACATAACTAGAGAAGATCGCTCAAGAACCACACATCGCGTTAAATCATTAATTGCAAGCAACACTAAAAAAAGGGGATAATATTTAACAAACAAAAAAATATTCCGCATTAACAAATCGTGTTTTTACGCGGTAAGTATTGCGCCCTAGGAATGCATGCATGCGTGCCGATGTGTTTATATGCGTGTGTATACGTTATTGTAAACAAAATTATATATTGAGTATTGAATAGTTTCGACACGGATGTACGTATGTGATGACTCATGACTTTCTATTAATAGGCAAGGCATCAGAATGCTATGTCAGGACAGGCGTTCGTCAAAAGTTGATTTTGACTCCCACATTGCTCAACGTTGTGCTTGACTATAAATTCACTAACACGGTGGATGTATGTTGAACTCGCATCGCACCGTAAGTATCTAGGCGTGCTAATCGGAGGTGCTGGCGAAGACCAACAAACTAAACACGAAAGGCAAATCCAAAGAAATTAGTATTCAAATCTACATTTAAGAGTGCAAATCTTCAGTGGCTTCCTAATATCGGAAGGAAGAGCGTTCCAGACGGCCGCAGAAGCACATGTGAAAGTGCGCGATGCAGTAACCGTCTTTGTTCGATGGCTAGCCAAAAACCACTGCTGCTGTGAAGATGACCGAAATTGATGGTTTAAAATGAATGCGGTTTGCAGAATATGAATGGCATAGACAGAGTAGAAAAACCAGGAATCAACACAGATAAGATGAATGCACGCATTGGGTGCGGGTTTAGAGAAAATGCAGATGATGCAGGTTTGCTGGCTAGGACATTGGCATGAGCCATGCGGCTGTTGACAGACTTATGCACTGAGGCTGGCCACTGGGATCTCAAGGTACAAGCTTTCCTTGGACAAACTGAATGGTGCTGAGATATAATTAGGGCTCCTGTAGGAGGACGGTAGGTTCCAGCGGTATGAAAGGTTGGGGTGGTAAAGGATTTTGTGTGTTAGGCAGGAGTGTCCATAACGCAATGTTCATCCTTCTTCTGCACTTCTGATTAGCACGATTGGCTACAGACGGTGCAAAAGAAGATCAACATACATACATTTGAAGCAATTGGCGGGACCCCGGGGTCCCATCACTGCCCCGGGGTGCGAAAAACTGCATAGCGACAGGAGTCTTGCCTTACCGACAACAAATCGATTGGCCTCGTCGAGAGCTACTCGGAGCACCAAGTTTCGTAAAAATTTGAAAAATTACATAAACACGTTAAATTCACTGCGGTGGCGGGCTCGCCTTGGCAAAAAAGCTGAGGATCGACGGCTGACCGGAGGGCGTTGTCGCCACGCGCGACTGCGGCGGACGCCCGGGCTTGCGTTTGGCCGGTGGGGTGGCGCCCATCGTGTTGATCGCCACCTGCTGGCGCTTGTTGGCGCGAGTCTGGGCGGGCGGCGCGTTGCTGTCGGGATCACGAGTGGGCGGAATGAAAAATAATTATTGACCTGATTTTTGCGGGACCCCGGGATCCCGCCAAATGATTCATTTGGTTGTGAGATTTTATCATATTCATCTTATCTAGATTCATATTGCAGTACCTTTTTTCAATGCACTTTACAACATTCATAAAAGAATACACAAGATAATAGTGGTTGATATTTTAAAACGTGGGGTTATTATTAAAAGTGGTGGTGTAGTTATGGTGACAGGAGAACAGGTGGCAGAGATTAATGGCGGGTTGTGGTAGTGATAGGGGTTCGGGTAGTGATAGGGGTTGGGGTAGTGATAGGGGTTGGGGTAGTGATAGGGGTTGGGGTAGTGATAGGGGTTGGGGTAGTGATAGTGGTTGGGGTAGTGATAGTGGTAGGGGTAGTTATAGGGGTTGGGGTAGTGATAGGAGTTGGGGTAGTGATAGGGGTTGGGGTAGTGATAGGGTTTGGGGTAGTGATAGGGGTTGGGGTAGTGATAGGGGTTGGGGTAGTGATAGGGATAGTGATAGGGGTTGGGGTAGTGATAGTGGTTGGGGTATTGATAGGGGTTGGGGTAGTGATAGGGTTTGGGGTAGTGATAGGGGTTGGGGTAGTGATAGGGGTTGGGGTAGTGATAGGGATAGTGATAGGGGTTGGGGTAGTGATAGTGGTTGGGGTAGTGATAGGGGTTGGGGTAGTGATAGGGGTTGGGGTAGTGATAGGGGTTAGGGTAGTGATAGTGGTTGGGATAGTGATAGGGGTTGGGGTAGTGATAGGGGTTGGGGTAGTGATAGTGGTAGGGGTAGTGATAGTGTTTGGGGTAGTTATAGGGGTTGGGGTAGTGACAGGGGTTGGGGTAGTAATAGTGGTAGGGGTAGTGATAGTGGTTGGGGTAGTTATAGGGGTTGGGGTAGTGACAGGGGTTGGGGTAGTGATAGTGGTTGGGGTAGTGATAGGGGTTGGGGTAGTGATAGGGGTTGGGGTAGTGATAGGGTTTGGGGTAGTGATAGTGGTTGGAGTAGTGATAGGGGTTGGGGTAGTGATAGGGGTTCGGGTAGTGATAGGGGTTGGGGTATTGATAGTGGTTGTGGTAGTGATAGTGGTTGGGGTAGTGATAGGGGTTGAGGTAGTGATAGGGGTTAGGGTAGTGATAGGGGTTGGGGTAGTGATAGTGGTAGGGGTAGTGATAGGGGTTGTGGTAGTGGTTGGGGTAGTTATAGGGGTTGGGGTAGTGACAGGGGTTGGGGTAGTGATAGTGGTTGGTGTAGTGATAGGGGTTGGGGTAGTGATAGGGGTTGGGGTAGTGATAGGGGTTGGGGTAGTGATAGGGGTTGGGGTAGTGATAGTGGTAGGGGTAGTGATAGGGGTTGGGGTAGTGATAGGGGTTGGGGTAGTGATAGGGGTTGGGGTAGTGATAGGGGTTGGGGTAGTGATAGTGGTTGGGATAGTGATAGGGGTTGGGGTAGTGACAGGGGTTGGGGTAGTGATAGTGGTTGGGGTAGTGATAGGGGTTGGGGTAGTGATAGGGGTTGGGGTAGTGATAGGGGTAGTGATAGGGGTTGGGTAGTGATAGGGGTTGGGGTAGTGATAGGGGTTGGGGTAGTGATAGTGGTTGGAGTAGTGATAGGGGTTGGGGTAGTGATAGGGGTTCGGGTAGTGATAGGGGCTTGGGGTAGTGATAGTGGTTGGGGTAGTGATAGTGGTTGGGGTAGTGATAGGGGTTGGGGTAGTGATAGGGATTGGGGTAGTGATAGGGCTTTGGGTAGTGATAGGGGTTGGGGTAGTGATAGTGGTTGGAGTAGTGATAGGGGTTGGGGTAGTGATAGTGGTTGGGATAGTGATAGGGGTTGGGGTAGTGATAGGGGTTGGGGTAGTGATAGTGGCTGGGGTAGTGATAGGGGTTGGGGTAGTGATAGGGGTTGGGGTAGTGATAGGGGTTGGGGTAGTGATAGGGGTTGGGGTAGTGATAGTGGTTGGAGTTGTGATAGGGGTTGGGGTAGTGATAGGGGTTCGGGTAGTGATAGGGGTTGGGGAAGTGATAGGGGTTAGGGTAGTGATAGGGGTTGGGGTAGTGATAGGGGTTGGGGTAGTGATAGGGGTTGGGGTAGTGATAGGGGGTTCGGGTAGTGATAGGGGTTGGGGTAGTGATAGGGGTTGGGGTAGTGATAGGGGGTTCGAGTAGTGATAGGGGTTGGGGTAGTGATAGGGTTTGGGGTAGTGATAGGGGTTCGGGTAGTGATAGGGGTTGGGGTAGTGATAGGGGTTGGGGTAGTGATAGGGGGTTCGGGTAGTGATAGGGGTTGGGGTAGTGATAGGGTTTGGGGTAGTGATAGTGGTAGGGGTAGTGATAGTGGTTGGGGTAGTTATAGGGGTTGGGGTAGTGATAGGGGTTGGGGTAGTGATAGGGGTTGGGGTAGTGATAGGGGTTGGGGTAGTGAAAGGGGTTGGGGAAGTGATAGGGTTTGGGGTAGTGATAGTGGTAGGGGTAGTGATAGTGGTTGGGGTAGTTATAGGGGTTGGGGTAGTGACAGGGGTTGGGGTAGTGATAGTGGTTGGGGTAGTGATAGGGTTGGGGTAGTGATAGGGGTTGGGGTAGTGATAGGGGTTGGGGTAGTGATAGGGATTGGGGTAGTGATAGGGGTTGGGGTAGTGATAGGGGTTGGGGTAGTGATAGGGGTTGGGGTAGTGATAGGGGTTGGGGTAGTGATAGGGGTTGGAAGTGTGATAGGGGTTGGGGTAGTTATAGTGATAGGGTTAGTGAAAGGAGTAGTGATAATTGTTGGGGTAGGTCTTGTCGTAGCTGGGGGGGAGGCGGGGTAAGACAGTAGCAGTATGGGCTAGGGGAGAAGAGATGGGGGTCGTTCCAAAGGATGAATGTAGGCTTCAGGTCATTGTTGTTATAGTGAAGATGGTTGCTCTGTGTGCTGCAGGGGGAGTTGGTTCCAGTCGAGGGGAGCAAGAAGGGCACAGGCACGAGAGTGGGCGCAGGATAGCACAGAGAGAGGTGGCAGAGACTGGGAGCATAGAAGAAGGGATGGGACAAAGTGGTGAGAAACGAGAGAAGCGAGATAAGTGGGGGCAAGATGAACCGAACAGTCCCAACTCGCTACGATGAAACTCCTTTTTTCAGGTCGTGGTGTATAAAGAAAACGGCAGAGACGAATGCTCAGTGCTTCGAGCACAGCATTTCTACCAATCAGGTAAGATATCCACGCCGCCTTTACGCCACCACGCTGCACCGACAACATCGCCACCTGCATTTGATTTCCAGCCACTCTGATTTGACTTCAGAAATGTCACTGATAGCATCTGCGACCGGTCATCCTAGCGACCGAGAACCCAGTTCGAGCAAGACGGCCGTGGTGCCACTTTGTGGACCACGTCGCCCCGTCTTGATGCGCACTCCTGCAGAAAATTGAGCTCTCAATTCGGTTGGCGGTCGACGTTCGAAGCAGATTGCGACCCTCAAAGGAATGGCATCGCCCACGTGCTGCGTGGATCAAACAAATCATTCGAGACACCGGTGTATTGCAGCCAGGAGCAGTTCATGCGAATGCTGTCGCAAGAGGTCACACGTGCGGCGCAACGGGTCCTTCGCTGCCTGTACGTGATTAATTAATGCTAAAATGAGTGGCGAGTGGTATCTGAAGCAGTCCTCCTCCTGGGTGTCCCACGTTCACGAACCGCACTGACCCGATAATAATAATAAGGGCGCAAGCCCCCATTCTTCACTGAATTGTGGGGACGTCACCACGTCGCTTGTGCCAGGTTAGATGCACTTTGAGGTCATGTCAGATGTTGAAGGCTCGCCGATAGGAAGTCACGGGACAGACCAAGGTGTTACGGGTTAATCGACTGTTCAGATATTCGTCACTCATGTTGGACTGTGATATAATGTTACAAAGATTAAAATTCCCCCCAAAAAGCAATTTAATATGGGATAAGCAGTATAATTACACAATGTAACACAATTTTTGTTCCTGGGTAGTAAGTGTTATTTCGTAATTGATTATGCCTAAAAAATATAGAAAATGTCTATTATTCCCCACAAACTTTGCTTTTGTGACCAGGAGAGTCATATTTTGAAATGTACCTATTTTCAATGAGAAAACGGGCGAATTTGTGTCTTTTCATTCACATAAAGTCAGAAAAAAGAACATATGAATCAAAATTAACATGTATTTATACTAAAGTAATACAAAAATTACTACAAAAGATTTAGAAGTGAGTAGTTTTTCGAGATTTACGATTATACTGTCAATCACTTTCACGAATCAGCCCCCAAATTTGGTCTCCCATGATGTTCTCGTTATACTGTCCTTGGTAGCAGCGTTCAAAGTCCAGTATATCCTGGTGAAAGCGCTCGCCTTGCTCCTCCGAGTACGCTCCCATGTTCTCCTTGAATTTATAAAGATGAGCATCAAGGATATGGACTTTGAGGGACATCCTACAGCCCACTGTGCTGTAGTTCTTCACCAGTCTCAACCAGCTCCACATAGTCTTCGACATTGTGATTGCCCTGGAAGCCACGAACCACTGTGACAAAGCTGTTCCTAGCCGCTTTCTCCTTACTAGTGAGCTTCTTGGGGAATAAATTGCACTCCAGGATCTTCTTTATCTGTGGTCCGACGAAGACACCGGCTTTGACCTTTGCCTCAGGCAGCTTAGGGAAGAAGTCTTGAAGGTACTTGAAGGCTGCCGACTTCTTATCTACAGCTCTGATAAATTGTTTCATATGGGCCAATTTGATGTGCAGTGGTGGCATCTGCACCTTCCGGGGGTCCACCAGTGGCTCCCACTTGACGTTGTTCTTCCCCACAAAGATCTCGGTCTGCTGTGGCCAGTCCCGCCAGTGGTAGTGCGTCCCTGCTGTCCCAAAGGCAAAGATAGCAAGGAAACTTGGTAAAACCGCCTTGGAGACCCATCAGGAATGCCACCATTTTTAAGTCTCCGATGGCCTCCCGGCCGTACTCATCATACTTCAAGACGTCTAGCAAAGTCTTGATGCTGTTGTAATCCTCTTTGAGGTGCACCGAGTGAGCCAAGGGAAGAGACGGGTACTTGTTACCATTATGGAGCAGTACGGCTTTGAGGCTCTTGGATGAGCTGTCAATGAAGAGGTGCCACTCATTCTAGTTACTGGCGATCCCGATTGCCTCGAACAGACTGGTCACATTGTGGTAGAAGCAGAGCCCATCTTGACGGGTGAAGAAACTGAAAAAAGGTTGGTGACGCTTCCTCTGATCTGCGACTTGCACACTTTCATCCAACAAGTTCCACTGCGTGAGCCTAGATTTCAAAAGCTCGGCCTTGGACTTGGTGAGACCAAGATCTCTGATCAAGTCGTTGAGGTCTTTTTGGTTGGGGTAGTATGGGTGTCTCTACTCAGCTCCACCTCTGAAATGGTAATCTGGATCTACGTCTTCCTCGCTCTCTGACTTGCTGCTCTCTTCTAAAGACGGCTGCTCTCTCTCTGGAGGAGTGGGTATGGGGAGCTCATGGCAGTGTGGCACCGGGGCGATGGATGAAGGTCCGGATACGTGATAGCAGGTGCATTCTTGCCAGTCCGACGTTTGGAAGGGTCCACCATGCAGAAGTAGCAGTTGCTTGAATGGTCAATGGGTTCCTGTCAAATTCTTGGGATAGCGAACTTCATGGCTCTCTTTTCCCCACTGTACCATTCTACAAAAATACATTTATTTCACCCATGACTGTGTAAGAGATTATCGCAACATTTTTCATACGTGATATATTTTTTCAACAACATTGAAAATTGTTAAAAAATTAAGAACTTTTACAATTAACATTTTTTTTCCAAATTTTACAACATTAAATTCCGGACAACAATTGTCCATCTTACCTTCCAGAGTTTTTTTGCATTGCTCGCAGGTTAAATCAGGTGCCCAGGGTTTGTCTTGATCCTCTACAGGCATGCTGAAATATGCCTTGTAGGCCTCACACATCTTAGCAGATGCTTCCACAGATAACTTTTTTGCTCTTGTCTTGATAAATTGGCCGCAGACATAGCAAAATGCATCTGCCGGATGCTTGCAGCCTCTTGATGCCATCTCAGAAAAATGCAAATATGTATCCACTTAGGCAACTGGAACTAAACTGAACTGGTCGGCTTAAGACCCCTGTATTTATGCTACTATTTATATTACTGGAAAGTTCTAGAATGTTCTAGAAGTTACTCCAAGTAACTGTCCTGGTCACAAAAGCAAAGTTTGTGAGAAATAATAGCCATTTTCTGTACTTTTGAGGCATAAGCAATTAGAAAATAACACTTACTACCCAGGAACAAAAAAAATGTTACACAGTGTTATTACAGTTGTCCCGCGGTTTAAAGATGCCATCAATTAACGATATTTTGATTAATGATCCGTCTCCCATAGGGTCCACATTGTTTCTATTAACGATACATTTTGGATATGTTTAAGATATCTCGTGACCGCAAATTTCGGGCAAATGGAGTGCACCTAAGTGCACTGAGTAGCCCTCAGCCAATCAGCGACTCCTTAAGCCATCCATCTTCTTAGCCTAAGCCACCCATATTCTTAGCCTAAGGTAATCATTTTTATTTTATGCTCTATTTTGCACCTTTTCATGCTCTATTCATTATTTATCCATGTTTATACTCATATGAATGCTTTCATATGTTCTTGGAACGTCCATTAATTACAATTGCGTGGTTAAATATTATAAACTATGTTTTTTGGGGTAAAAAAGGTCAACTTCCGATCGTCTCGGAACAATTGAACCATTTAACACGTATTTCCTATATTGAATTAACGAGAATTTTAATTAACGGTAGTTTTCGTGGAACCAATTAAAATCATGAACCGAAGGACCACTGTATTATCATCGGACTATACATATAAAACTGTCTTAATACATATATAATGTAATTATGACTGCTCTCTGCTCTATTTTTGTTCCCCACAGGGCAGATCAATTGTGCAAAGTAAATAACAACCGACGCTGTGAGCACGACCTGAAGAGGAATGTAACACATTGTGTTTAGAAGAATTCATTTGCCCTATAAACTTCAGTAACAAAGATTCGGGCATGCCAGGCTTGTGGCAATAACGACTATATAACAAAAATTCATCCCGTTTCAAGTACTGAGCCCATGATATGCATCGATTGTAAATGTGTCTATAATCGCCCGGTTGTTAACAAAACTGGCAGGCCAATTACATTGTAGAGAAGTTTGGGAAATGTTGTGTTCCTTCTAATGCAATCTTATTGACGCGTTATTTACAGATTGTGGATTTTGTGGTTATTACATGGTAAGGCAACAGCATACTTTCGTGAATGAAGTAAAAATAATTGGCGTTTGTTAAGTGACGCATTTCATCCACAGATCCCACAAATGCGCGCCGAGAGATAAACAAAACCTGCAGGCTACACGGTCAGAACTAGGCGGGGGATAATAGCGAGTTTACCCACTCAACCACTCACTCACTCAACCCGCTCACTAACCCCATCTACTCACCCACTCGCTCAGAACCAGGGTAAACGGCCAGAAAATAGCGGATAAAGGCCAGTTTACAAAGGTGACTTTTAAAGATGGACAAATATATCTAAAGATTCTGATTGTCTTATTAGCAAGGGCAAAGCGCTGTTCCAAAGCTGGGGAGCTGCACAGTGACAAAAGCCCGATCATCCCACTAAATGAGCCTTGACCTTTGACGGATGAGGCCTCTGTAAGAATTGTTGGCACAACTGTCTCTCTTTATAATACAAGCCTTCAAGACAGATGTTATTACTATGGTTATCTAATTCACTTCCATTCCATACTATATTAAGGTCGCAATAAACCCGATAGCATTAATATACCATACATTCATGATGGATTACATTTAAGTGTCTACAAAAGTGCCGAATTCCGAAAGTCATGACGCAAATTAACAACGCGACGGTGAATCTCACCGTGACGATAAACAGCAGTGTCGTGGTCTCTCAAATGTTTTACACCATCTTCCAGATTGTCAACCTCTTCATGACGGCCCCTTCTCTGTGTTTATTTCTCTCTATCACCGTCACGATTTTCACCGAAGTGAAGCTGAGGGAGAACTCGCGCTACATTCTCTTCGCCAGTCTCCTCGCGTGCGACACCTTCTTCTTACTTTGCTCCACTATCATGTCTACGTTCATTTGGCTACAAACAAATTTAAGTTTGACGTCGTGCAGCGTGAACACCATGGTCAGCACAATTCTGAACCAGAGCGGGGTTCTGTGCGTCACGCTCATGTCCGTGGAGCGATACGTGGCCATTTGCCACCCCTTCCATCACCCCCGCTGCTTCAGCCACCGCAAAACGCTTAAGTTCTTGGCCATAATTTGGTCCGTCGCTTCAGTGTTCCCGCTGGCGTGCGGCATTCTGGTCTTCACAAGTGGCGTGACCGTGAACAACACTCGGACTTGTTCCACGTATCTCACCGACAGCCTGATGCCCAACCCCATGGCAATCACGGTGCTCAGAGAATCCCCAAACGTCATTATTTTCTCAGTCTGCATCATTGCGCTGATCTTCACCTACTTCAATATAATGATGGCAGCTAGAAAGGCGTCCGATGATGCGTCTAAGGCGAAACGAGCCAAGCAAACTGTGATATTACACGGCCTGCAGTTGTTTCTGTATCTGTGTTCACTTGGTAACAGATTTTTTGAAATCCTTTTTGCTATAATCACAACAGATCGTAACATGATAACAATATTACGGTTATGTAATTATTTATGTCTTTATTATAGCTCAAGGTTTGTTGTTCCCTTAATTTATGGAATACGTGATAAAAAACTTAGGCAGTGTCTTAGGAAGAAGATCACCTGTCACTACAATAGGGTGAATACATTTTAAACTGCATGCAACAAGATGGACGTGAATATTACCATTCGTGTCATTAAATGCTTTTAAAATTGTATTTAGTTCAAATGTCTAAATATTCGTCTTCGTTTTAAATGTATGTATGTATGCTAAACTTCTTTGACACCGTACATAACCAGCCTCGCTAATCAGAGGTGCGGGGAAGGACAACAACCTAAACACAAACAGCAGTTCTACAGAAATTAGTTTTCAATCAAAAAATAAGTTTTTAATCCAGAAATTACTTTTCAAATAAGATGTTCTTAGGCTGATGTGCTCATCAAATATATCAATATATTCATATGAAGGAGACTAACGTAGTTTAATTGAGGTACTTTATGGTAATATTGTAATATCGTATAGTCATAGGCAAATGGTTGATGTGAATAAAAACAAATAATTGTGAAATTGCCTTTCCCTCCCTTTGTGCGGTAAATGCCTTTTGAAAAAAGTGCGTACAGACAGGAGACTCTCGATTATCCACATGCGATTCATCCGATTTGCTGATTGACTGCGCACCTGAGATTTTAACATAAATTCGTAACTCATGGATTTTCCGTGAAACCCAAATTAATCATATGAAAACAAAGCTTTCGTGACTGCAGGGATTCATATTCTTGGTTCTTTCGGAAAAGTCACATAGAAGGGAAACAATATAATAATAAAAATATAAACATAAAAATTCTCACGACGTTTCGACTGCAACACAAGCAATCATCAGGTGTGAAAACCACATCCAGAAATTTTGAAAAAAAGTGGCGTTATTTTTTACGTTAGCACCATGGAGAGCGATTTTGGCAGTTATTCAGATGGACGAGTTCATCTATGTTCAGAAAAGAGGAGGGGGAAGACGAAAATAATGGATGCGGTCTGAAAGCCACCATAAGCGTGAACAATCAATTAAGACCCGAAATGGTTTATCAAATCCTTCCAATGATTGCTAAGCCATAATCCATCTTCTCGGTTGAAATTGTCTCTGTGTTTGTATATGTGGATAGCCTCATGAACAAATCTCTCATGGTAGCCAGATGGCTTGCAAAGAACCTCTGTCTTGGAGAAGTCAATGTCATGTGAGCCTACTGAATTATAACAGTGATCTGCCACGGCCGAGGTGTTGGTCCTACCGTGTTTTAGATCTGCTTTGTGTTCACGAATGTGGTCCGAGACATGTCGTTTGGTTTCTCCAATGTAACTACTACCACAGAGGCAACTTAGTTTGTAGACGCCAGGGTACTGTATGTCCGGAATTACATCTTTTACAGACCGAACCAGATCACGGATTTTATGTAATGTGTTGAATCGGACCTGGATCTTGTGTTTATTCAAGATTTTGGAGATCTTTTTTGTGATCCCCGCAATGTAAGGTAAAGTGATGGTTTTGAAAGGCCCCTCAAGAGGGTCCTTCTTCATGGTTGGAGTGATAGCTTTGCGGATTGTGTAGTCGGAGTAACCATTAGCCTTAAGAGCTTGGTGTACGTGCTTGAGTTCACTGGCTATGTGTTCCTGGTCGGATATGCATTGGGCTCTATGGTGCAGAGTCTTGATGAGGGAATTCTTCTGGGATGGATGGTGGTGGGAATCCGTTTTCAGGTAAGCATCCGTATGGGTAGCTTTCCTGTAGACAAAGTGGCTCATTTAACCATCAGGTCTCTTTTTTATTAGGACATTCAAAAAAGGTAGCTTGCCATCTTTTTCGACTTCCATGGTAAATCTGATGGCTAGGTGTATGGAATTGATGTGGTCGAGGAATTGGTCTAGAGCAGGCAGGCCATGTGGCCAGATGACAAAAGTGTCATCCACGTATCTCTTCCATAAGGTTGGGCGCAGAGGGGCAGTCTGGATTGCGTCATAAAAAAGAAACCTAATGGTTCAATGAGCCACTCTGTCTACAGGAAAGCTACCCATATGGATGCTTACCTGAAACCGGATTCCCACCACCATCCATCCCAGAAAAATTCCCTCATCAAGACTCTGCACCATAGAGTCCAATGCATTGCCTCTGTGGTAAAAGTTACATTGGAGAAACCAAACGATGTGTCTCGGACCGCATTCGTGAACACAAAGCAGACCTAAAACACGGTAGAACCAACACCTCGGCTGTGGCAGATCACTGTTATAATTCAGTAGGCTCACATGACATTGACTTCTCCAAGACAGAGGTTCTTTGCAAGCCATCTGGCTACCATGAGAGATTCGTTCATGAGGCTATCCACATATACAAACACAGACAATTTAAACTGAGAAGATGGATTCTGGCTTAGCAATAATTGGAAGGATTTCATAAACCATTTCGGGTCTTAATTGATTGTTCACGCTTACGGTGGCTTTCAGACCGCATCAATTTTTTTCGTCTCCCCCCTCCTCTTTTCCGAACATAGATGGACTCGTCCATCTGAATAACTGCCAAATCGCTCTCTGTGGTGCTAACGTTAAAAAACGCCACTTTTTTCAAAATTTATTGCTGTGGTTTTCACACCTGATGATGATTGCTTGTGTTGCAGTCAAAACATCGTGAGAATTTTATTTTTTGTATGTTTAAATTTTTTATTTTATTGTTTCCCTTCTACGTGACTTTACCAAAAGAACCAAGAATATACATCTGAAAACAGTTGTACATTATTATTCTTGGAAATGTTTATTACAAGTTACGTGCTTAAGCCAACGAAACATTTGCTTCGGTTAATCCGAAATTTAAGTGATCGCCTCTACAGTAGAGTAGTTGCATATCTTTACAACAGTAGGCGGAGTTTTGATTGATTTTGATTGTCTATGGCTCTGCTATCCACCTAGTGGACCGAGTCTTCTGCGCAGAAGCAGGAAAGTGTTATCAGTGAACACGTGCATCGATTGATCGTTAGTATTAATCATAAATCGAAAGAGTAGCAATCGTAATCGTCAGTTGCGCTTCATTTTGAGTTATTTATCCGATCATTTATTTTGCGAGTTTTAATTGACAAAACTGTGCGATGACAGAGAAACTTAAACATAATTGATCCCTACATTAGCGGTGTTTGGCATAGAGATCCGCGGAAATTTTATAGTTTTGGATTATCCACAATTTTGAATTATCCGCGGCCGTCCTCCCCGTCCTTAGCGCAGATAATCAGGAGTCTACTATACGTAGCTCCTCGCGGTCCACACCCAGGTGGGGTAGTGAGCCCAATTTCTCCTTCCTCAAAACCCAGGAGCATGGAGAGTTTTGTGATTTCTATCCGTGGAGTTTCTGTGCCACCCCTCCCTCCCCATATCGCGATTTGTGCTCTGTACCGGGCTCATGTTGAAATACAATAAAATTAAAATCCGTGAATATTAAAATACCGAACGCTTATGAGAAAAATTGCGTTCGGGGTATGCATATATATTGCGTTTAAACATATAAACTGTCCATATATATTAATGAATACATATATGTGTTGTATTATTGTGTTATATTACCTTTAATAATGATGAACATAAATATCAGTCAGCCCCTCTCTACCCACGAGGGGTTTACGGTCTTGAAAATGCTCGCGAATGCAGAATTTGTGAATGCAGAAACCTCGTTCAAAGGGCAAAAATGGGGCTCACATTCCTAGTACGAGTGAACATAAGAGGGCAATGTTAAACGTTGAAAAAGAATTACTACAGTCAATCATTAATACATTTTACAGAACAATGCGTTTGTTTTATTACATTTGATGACGATGATAATTTGACGACGATGGAGGTGGTGGTGGTGATGGTGTAGTGACTGTGAATGTCACTGTGTGGTGCCAGGCTTGTGAGGCCACGGCGGATAATGTTGTCATTATTTGCAGCCTAGTTACTAGGCGTAGTACCAGCCCTAGCGGGGCTTGGGTGCTGATTAGCGCAGAGGCACCACGTACAGTGTGCGGTGCGGGCTCCCAGTGAGGGAGCGAGAGAGAGTGTCAGCCAGCCAGGGTTACGTTGGGGCATGATACGCTGGTTGACCTGCCGACACGTGACCAAATGATATTGGAGGGGGGCCACCGGTGGACGGGGGCCGCTGGGTCGTCACATGGTATAAGGGAGCTCTCGGGAGCCTTCGGGAAAGAGCTCGAGAGATCTAGAAGGTGGGCGGGGCAAGGGGAGGAGCCAGCCCCAGCCCAGGCCGATATAACGGGGGCCCCGTGTGGAGCTCGGGGTTCTTGACTGTTGGTGAGTGAAGATCCACGTCGGGTTGAAGAAGCCTCTAGCCACGTGGTCCGGGACCCAGCTCGTGGTCCGGACCGGGATAGCGGGACCGTGTCTAGTTTTGCCGTAGCGTGGTTAGATGGGCGTTCAACACCCGAGTGTAGGTTACGTTTAGAGGAATTCAGGATGACTCCACTGGAAATGCAGGCGTTTGATATGCATCTCTATGTATCTCTACGAGTCTATGAGTTGAAATGTTTATTTATGAGTCTCTACGAGCCTCTATGCATATCTTTGATTCTCTATGAGTATCTATGTATTTATGAATCTCTATGTATCTCTACGAGTCTCTACGATTTTCTATTTATCTCTATGAGGCTCTATGGGTCTCTGTATCTCCGTGTTAGTTTATTAAAGTTGCTGAGCCAGCTGGCCCAGGATTAACCACAATCTAGTCACTACTTTTCACTCATGAAACTGGAGAGCAGCAGTCTCAGTGTTACTAATATAACATTACAACCAACAATAACATTTACGAATCACAATTAAGAGACAAACAACATTCTATATACACTGTCAAAAAGAAGACAACATTCAAACAAATTGAACTTAAAATATTATCAATGGTCCTCATACTCGATTAGGGACATTGCTGCTGTCCCAGTGCCCAGCCAGGCTACAATTGCTTTTAATAATTAATTATCATTTTGATTTAATACACCGTGAGCCACAAACTGGAACATTTGTTTAGCAATGAAAAGCACTGCTTAGTTGCAGGGGGGTTTTCTTCCACATGTAAACTCTATCCACACGGCACGAGTCGACATGGCAAGTTGCCACTTGAGAACAGATTCCCGGGGAGCGGCTATCCCTATTTAAGGAGCTCGTTTCCTTGATAGCTGTTGCTACAACAGCAAACCCGATGAGTGTTGCGCGGTGTTTTAAATACACCCTGCGTGTTGCACATTGAGGCAATTAACTGCCACACGCCAGGATATATTTACATGCATGGTGACAATATACATATTTATATACGGTGTCCTCAGGAGGTGGCCAAATGAATGCACTGGGAAATCGAACACACAGCTACACGGGTAACACGCTCGTTCGGTTGAGTTATAAAGTGTTTGGAAGCACCTAAGAATTTTCGTCTCTTGGCATCTCCATTCTGCCATCTCTGTCCTCATCTCAACTGACTTTATTTGAAAAAAAATCACAAACTTTAAGTGTGAATGTAATTTTACAACATAACTGCTATCATTATTACAATGGAGTGAGTTTTTATTTATCTGTAATTGTGAGATGCTTTGATGTTGTCTGCCGGACAAGTATTTGGGTCTCGCGGCGGCTATGAGATTTAAAATACTTCGCTTTGTTTACAGCAGGTCGTGGATTCGATGCTGACCCTGACACCTGTATATTTGGCGTTTGCATATCTCTCTATCCGTGGTCACGTGGATTTTTCTCCTCCGGGTTTTCCC